GCAGTACATCACAGATCTATAGGATGAAAGTGTCACGGAGGTTGGCCATAGTAAGATGTCCCAAGAAACAAATGTGAGGCATCTTGATGAAATCAGGCGCTCGTTAAAATAATGAAATCCGAAAAGCCGGCATTTTTCGGCCAGTTTAGAAATGTGTTTTTGTTGGGTTTTTTGGTTCTTTTTTGGCTCAACACTTTTCATGCCCATTTTAAAACACATCTTTGCTAGGATATTAGATAAAAACAATGGTTATTGGAACGAAAATGTAAATTTTCAGTTTCAAGGACTCTTACCCTACCGAAATTACCAAACTTCGGTGGCCAATTTCTCTCTGATTTTGTCTTTGAAACCAGGCAACCCTGACCTACTTCAATTGCAAATATTTCGACTTCTATTCAGTATAGACGGATTTTTTTTAATACCAAAAGCAGGCTTTAAGATGATACCAGTAACCCCCTACAATTGACGAGTGCCTGATTTCACCACGCCGTGACACAAATTGTTAGTAAGCTGTTCAGTTTTTCTGAGCCCGTAAACACACTATTTTCAGGAAATTAAAATGTTTTCATGCATTTAAAGATTATTCCTAAAACATGAAGTTTACCTTTTCTTCTTTGTTAGCGTGTTGGATTGGGGTTTTTAAACTTAGATTTATAAACGGCAAAAACAATACAATTTCAAAATATTGGGCTTAGTAACCCTCATCTGAACTGCTGGCTAACGAACTCATTTCAAATAGGGGGGGGGGGATTAGAGAGGATACAATCCTAAAGAGATATTCTCTGTAAACGAAGCGCCTAAAATGACTAGTTTAAGCACGCTGTAACAGAAAAGCTGTCTAATCATACGTCTAAGGTTTTGTTGACAGGACCAGCAGTTTAAAACTTATTAATTTATGTCATGGACAAGTAATTTAAAATTATTTATGGGAGATTGAGCACATCAACATATATATATATTCATTATTATACAAATTAGAGGGTAACTTGAAGGCAAACAGGCAGGGTAGATCTAGAGCAACCTACTCGGAGATCCCAAACAGTTTTTCAGAGAGCATCAATCCTAGCTAAAGGAATATGAATGGGGAACCATGATCGCCAATGTCTGTCACAAATCTGGAACTTGATGATGATGATGATGATAATGATGATGATGATGATGATGATGATGATGATGATGAGAGTTTCCTTCCTAACAAATAATTTTCTATTAATCTACTCACAAACAGATCCACAGTCATAATATGCATAATATTATGTTATTAATGAACAAAAGTGTGTATGTGTAGAAATGTATGAGTCTGAGTGTATGGGTGAGCATATGCATGCGTGTGTGGGTGTGTGTGCATGCGTATGTGTATGTGTGTGAGTGTGTATATATGTGTGTGTGTGT